TTTTTTTTTTTAAAAGGAATATTTAAAATACCTGTTCACTGTATATTCCTTATTAGTACTTTTTTTAGAACCTGCAATAAAAATTTGGTTTGATTAGTTCTTGGTATAATATCTTTCACACTGTGAATAAGTAGTGGATTTGCCGAATAAAACTGTAGTTTATTTGTTAATTTATTAACTAAATGAAGAAAAAAAGAGCATTTCTTTAAAATAAACATTTGGGGGTGGCACCTGTGGCTCAATGAGTAGGGCACCAGCCCCATATACTGAGGGTGGCAGGTTCGAACCTGGCCCCGGCCAAAATGCAACAAAAAAATAGCTGGGCATTGTGGCAGGCACCTGTAATTCTAGCTACTGAGGAGGCTGAGGCAGGGGAATCACTGAAGCCTGAGAGCTAGAGGCTGCTGTGAGCTGTGACTCCACAGCACTCTACCAAGGGTGACAAAGTGAGACTCTCTCTAAAAAACAAATAAAAATAAAAAAATCTTTAATTCTTCTTTAAGCATACCTATTGTCCAAGCATAGATACTGCCCAAGGTATTATGTTTAAAAGTAAGATGAGAGAAAAGTTTAGATTCATATTTTGAAATACTTTTTAAGTCTTCTGACAAATTATTTTTATTTTTGGATTAATATTTGGATGCTGCTGTATTTGCTCTATTAATGAAAAAATATAGTTAAATTTTAAAAGTCCTTAATTAGATGAAAGTTTTCACTTACTCGTTAAGTTCAGATTTAGCGTAGTAGTAATATCTTTTATTCATTTAAAATTTTACTGTTAGTGAAATTTGTAATCCCACAAACATTTCTTCCTTATATTTGTCAGATTTATATAAGTGATACATCTTCATAAAGCAGTGTAAAAAATGAACAAAGAAAAATTAACCCTTGGTGTTTTCAACATTTTGGGGAGATGAAGAAGGAGAGATCTGGCTTTTCATATACAATTAATTTTATTTCTATTAAGCTCTCAATTTTGTGAATCCATGTTAATAGATGTGATTAATATAATAAGCATGTTGTAAAAGTAGCCCAAGACTTCTTAATGTAAAATTTATGCCACCCATAATTATAGTTTGTACACTCTTTCTAATATCTCAAACATAAAAAAGTGAGGGTACCCATTCTTTATTTTAGGATAAGAAATTAATTAAATTATACTTCACCTAAAACTTCGTCTTTTCTTTATAAGTGTAGGTGCCCTAGTGCTGTTCTAATTTGCTCTGTGACAGTCCAGATCTCTCTCTCTCTTACTCTTCTCTTTCCCTCTCATTTTCCCTTCACCTTGGGTTAATCATGAAGCCAGTTTGTGTCCAGATTTGACGCTTTTGTCTGTGATCAGTAGTGTGTGTTCTTTCCCTTAATGAAGGTCTTGTTTTTAATCTAGATCACAGTGAAATTACCAAGATTAATTGAAAATGCCCATAAGGAACTTTGTACTCCTTTGAGACAGAAGCTGTATAAATATGGGTCATGATTCTTATTCTTATTTTTTTCAAGATAAAGCAAAAGAGGGTCGTGCCAATAGCTCAATGGGTAGGGCACTGGCCACATACACTGAGGCCCGGGCCAGCTAAAAAACAACAATGACAACTGCAGCAACAACAAAAAAAAATAGCAGGGTGTTGTGGTGGGCATTTGTAATCCCAGCTACTTGGGAGGCTGAGGCAAGAGAATCAATCACTTAAGCCCAAGAGTTTGAGGTTGCTGTGAGCTGTGACACCAGGGCATTCTACCCAGGTGACAGCTTGACACTGTCGGAAGAAAAAAAAAAGATAAAGCAAAAGAGATCCTTTCATCGTGACTTTGTGGATTAAGTCAATTAAAAAGTAGAAACCAGCTGGGAGTGGTGTTTTAAGCCTGTAATCCTAGGCCTGTGGATTGCCTGAGTTCAGGAGTTTGAGACCAGCCTGAGCAAGAGTGAGACCTTGTCTCTACTAAAAATAGAAAGACTAGCCAGGCATTGTGGGGGGTGTCTACAGTCTCAGCTATTTGGGGGGCTGAAGCAAAGGGATGGCTTTAGCCCAAGAATTTGAGGTTATTGTGAGCTATGACACCATGGCAATCTATCCAGAGTTACTGAGGGAGACTCTGTCTCAAAGGAAAAAAAAAGTAAAAACCGCCATCATTAAACAAATTAGATGTTGCTGGGTTTCTTTTTCCTCCTTTTTTTTTTTTTTTGTTTAGGGCGTTGTGGTGGGCGCTTGTAGTCCTAGCTACTTGAGAGGCTGAGGCAAGGGATCACTTTAGCCCAAGAGTGTGAAGTTATTGTGAGCTATACCTCAACACAAATTATAAAAAACACAAAAATACATCCTATGCTGAAACACTAATTTTGATAAAAGTTTCCATTTTGAAAAGTAACTACTTGTGACCAAAATTTACTCTAAATCCCACCAATCAATAAGGTATAGGCATGAAATCTCCCTCAGGGTCTTTGGAGGGCTTGTTTGGCAGGGTACATCATGTCCTATAGTTAATCTTCTTCTAGGAACCAGCAGCAGAATTTTGATAGTCCTTTTAAAAAGGGAGCAGGAGGATGTGAAAATCTCTGTGAAGAATTCATATTGGCTCTAGTATACAGTGGTAATCTGTAGTAATCTGATGAGAAGAGACAGGGCTGTTGTCACCTGGCTACTGGTCTGTCTGGGCTCAGACAGGATCTTACCTCTTTGGGAACCTTGCCTGACTGGCCCTGCCACCCTTGCTGAACTCCCAGGGCCTCCTCCTGGACCTGTCCCATCCTAGAACTTTCCACACTGTGTTGTAATTGCTAGCCAGTGTCTTTCTGTCTTGCTAAGGACTACTTAAAGGCAATAGCTGTGTGCTAGATCTGTGTGCCTGGCACACAGTAGGAACTCAGTGAAAGTGTTTAAATTACAAAAAGAAATTTTTTTTGTATGATGGAAGTACGTGGACAATACCATGATATGGCACAAAGGTACATGAGCATACAAAG